AATTAACAGAACATTTGAAAACTTTAGAACAACAACAACAAAAAAAAAAAGTAAACTCACCCAGGAGAACTAGACTGCTGGAAATAATCAAATTGAGAGCTGAAATCAACAAAATCGAAACAAAGAAAACAATATAAAGAATCAATGAGACAAAGAGTTGGTTCTTTGAGAAAATATACAAACCTTTATCCAAACTAACCAAAAGACAGAGAGTGAATATCCAAATTAACAAAATCAGAAATGAAAGGGGGCCATAACAACAGACACAGAGGAAATCCAGAGAATCATCAAGTCATATTTCGAAAACCTGTACTCCACAAAATTGGAAAGCTTAAAGGAAATGGACAACTTTCTGGATAAATATCCCTTACCAAAATTAGTTAGGATTTCTATTGCTGTGAAGAGACACCATGACCATGGCAACTCTTACAAAGGAAAACATTTATTTGGGTGCTTTCTAGTTCAGAGGTTCAGTCCATTATCATCATGGTGTGGCATGAGGCAGGCAGGCAGACATGGTGCTGGAGAAACAGCTGAGAGTTCTACAGCTCTCAGGCAACCGGAAGTAGTCTGTCTCACTAGGTGTGGCTTGAGCATATATGAATCCTCACCGCCTTCCAGCAAAACCACACCTACTCCGTCAAGGCCACACCTCCTCATAGTGACACTTCCTTTAGGGGCCATTTTCTTTCAAATTTTCTCTCCACTGAGCACTGGGGATGGAGATTTTCTCTGTAAGAAGGGTACAATGATAGGGGGATGGACACTTGCCTTGTACCTCTTTCTACTGAGAACAGTAACCTACTTCTTCATAAATAGAATCTTAGGGATCTGTCCTTCCAATATCATCCCCCTTCCCGAGCATAATTGTGTAACCAAACAGAAGCATATCTTCCATCCTTCCGTATATGATGATGACTGGCCCCAGGGATTAGCTGATCAGTGTGGGCTCTCATTTCCAAGTCCTTTCCATGAAATGTAAACTAGTTATATAGTAAGATGCCACAAAAAGAAAGTTTCCTTGGAAAGCACACGATCTATTTTTTACTTTACATGTAAATAACCCGTGTCTGTGTCATGTTTTGTTATTATTTGCACTGTTGCATGCATGTGTGGTTTAAAACATACCTGGAACCATTGCTGTGAGTTTCCAAGCAAGCCCTAAGTCTCCGGATTCCAGAAATGAGCCTACTCAGAAAGGAAACAAATTTGAAGTGAATTTTCTCATAAGTTCACTCAAAGTTACAAGAAAAACAAATACAGTCATGTTTCTCTTTCCTACAGTAAATTTGGTTTCTGTGTAGTAAGATTTTAAAGTTGGGCAGCGTCTTCTTTATTTTAAAGAAATTAATAATACATGCAAACAAGCCTCATAGGGTCACATGAAAAATCTGGAGTCCTGAGGTCCTGACACACTTGCCCGATCGGCCCTTGTTTTAATCAGAGTCTCCTGAGGAAGCTGCCCTGGATGTCTCAGGATTGGCTCAAGGCAGGACATGTCAGTCCCTCTGACAGGTCTTCTCCAGAACAGACTGAATTTCTCCTCTCCTCACCAGCACTCAGTCTCACAGAGAGACCCTATAAAAGAAGACACTAAAGACTAACAAAACAACAATAACTCAGCTCTTTCTTCCTTATTCAGTTACATGTCTCAAGAGGATGTTTTATGGTTTGAACCTATGACTTTGTCATGTTTGAGGAAAATTAATGTTCATCTTTTTCATAGCTGCTTGCATCACTGTGATTTGGAACATACCTGAAACCATCCCTATGAGCTTCCAATCAAAATCTTAATCCTCTGGCCTCCAGAAATGTGCCTACTCAGTGGGAAAACAGAAACTTAAAAGGGATGTTCCCCTCACAGGATCATTGGGTTTCAATATTTGGTACCCAACTGATGGCACTGTTTGGCAGAGTTGTTGAACCTTTGGTCTATGTGACCTGTCTAAGGGAAATAGGTTGGCCTGGAGTGGACCTTGAAGGTAATGTCCACTTCTGGTTCCCATTAGCTTACTGATCCCCGCATCCGTGTGAGGAGCTTAGCCCTACACTCCAGTTCACGAGGCTGCCCTGCCTGACATCTCCATCAGGGTGACTTTTCCCTCTCCCACCATTTCAGTTGCTTCTGGCCCACTTCTCTGTGGTGGTCAGGGCTGGAGGAGGGACTCATAGAGGAGGGTTTTTTTTTCCCTACTTAAAAATTGTTACTTTTTAAGTGTGTGTGTACACATGTGTACAAGAGTGTAACTTAGATTTTATGGAGCTAGAGCTACAAGAGGATGTTAGGCCACCCATGTGGGCTCTAGGAATAGAACTCTGTTCCCCTGCAAGAGCGCCCTTAACCTCTGAGCCATCTCTCCAGTCCCCCTAAAAAATGGTTCTTTTAAATGTTGACATGAGCATGCTCATGTGATAATATTAGCAATAGTTTAGAAGTGGGTCTGGGGAAAGTCTGTAGAAAATGATAGGCTTTCAGGGCGGTGGGGGCAGGTGGATGTCATAAACAGCGGCCGGGGAGGAGAGGTCTCCCAGCAGTCTCTGAACGTTCGATCGTGTTTTTACAGGGCAGCTCATTGTTTTTCTTCTCCCTGAAAAAAATTACAAACAATAACTGTTATGATGAGTTCCACAGAGAATGACAATGTCCATGCCACCCCTGCTTGACAAAGAGCAGCACCTCGCTGTGTCTGCCACACGTAAGCAAGCCTCCCAATTTATAATCCTCCTACAGAGAAGTCCTCTGGGACCATGCTGCTATCTTGGGGTCTCCCTCTCTGCCCTTGGACCCCTCCCTCCTCCTTGCAGTGAGTGCTGGCTAGTGGCAGGGGGAGGTGTGAGGGAGGAGATAGTCTCCTCTCTGACCCCACATGCAGCCAGGTACGCAGGGTGGCTTCTCTCCCATCACCACTTGCTCTGGATTTTCTCCACAACTTAAAAAAGAAAGAAAGAAAAAGCAAACCCTAAGGTATTCTGTCTTTTATAATGTTCTGTTTTAAAAGCAAGAAATCTTTAGAGAGAGACCAGGACCACAGGAAAAAAAAAGGCCTGGAATTTCTCCCTTCTCTCTTTCCATTTAAAACAGGAAACATTCCCGCTAAGAGAGTCCGGAGGGAGCGTTGGTTGTGTGCTGGGTTGAAGGCAGATAATGTTTGTGTGCTGCAAATGTCAGTGATTTATCCTAAGGACTTAAAACGAGGGCAGAGAAACCACATGTTCCACTTCATGCAGAGAAATACCTCTGGTCGCTTTTGAAAGGAAACACAGGTTAAGGAATTTTCTTAAGTGTTTCTGCAATCTACAGCTTGTGCCAAAGGAAACAGAAATGAGCATGGTGTTTGAAAGACGAGGTCTTTAATTTCTTTTCTTTTCTTTTTCTTTCTTTCTTTTTTTTTATACAGTAAAAGAGACAACGAGTGCTGGAAATTTTCTAAATAAAAAGATGAAGTTGTCGAGGAAAGGGACGGTGACAAACGGGTCCTAGTGACAGGTGATTAGCCATGTACGCCTGCTCTATTTCTCGTGGCAATTTAGCATAGAGCAAAGCGGCCCAAACTGAGTGGGAACCGCTGATGGCTGTGAACAATTTGTAAGCAAACAATTTAATTTTTGATCTGAAATTTTTTACTAACTAAATTACCCCCAAATTCAGGGATCTATCGTTCATTATTATACATAGCAAACTTAGGGCTCACACACCTCCACAGACAATTGTAGACGGAAGACAGGATTCTTCATCCTTAGGACCACATTGACAGCTGGCTTTTCTCGGGTTCCAGGCGCTCAGAGCTTGTCAAATCTCCATTGATTTGGGGGAACAAGGTTATTTTAACATCCAGCTCCACAGGTTACAGGGTGATTTGGACCCTCATTGGCGATGTCTGATTAACCACAGGTATGGTATTCGTACAGCCTTGTCATTGCTGTCAAGTGTACAAGCAGTCTGTACTCTGACATTGGCAGGCTTTTCAGTGGTCATTATTGTTGCTGTTTCTCCTTTTAAGTAAAAATCATGAGGAGCAGAGAAATAAGAAGGAAGGGGTCTGGTCGCGTGCTGAGTGCTACTGGCCAATACGTGCGCACGCGCAGGAGTTTTACTGGGATTTCAAGGGCTGCAACAGAAGACACTGTCTCACCCCAGGCTCGCCAAGATGCCTTCATCTGCATATTGTCTGGAGACGTATTGTTTCTGTTATGGCGAGCAGATCAGATAATGCTTGTCTTCAGTAGAAAGTTCCAGACAGGCTTGTTCCCCATTAGTGTGTGTTCTTGCCCTAGACCTTTCTGTATGCAGCCTCTTATGCGGGGCACCTTGGTTTTTGCTACTGACTTTGTGGTAGACCGAATTACTTTTATCACAGTTCCAGGTGGGCAATTTCCCAGCTCCGAGTTGAGAGTTCTTTGGGGAACAATGGAGGGAGGCACACTAATTCATACAGAGATGTGACAGCAGCCACCGGACCTAGCCAGGGCCACGCACAGCCCTTTCAGCGAATACCCCTGCCATCTAGGAGGGAATGAGTGCGGTTTCTGAGGACCCCGGCCCAGAGTATTAGTGCTGCCTTCTCTCTTAAAGACTCGGGCTCTCACAGCCACAGGCTTAACGGGCCCAAGCATCCCTCTCTAGGGGAAACTCGTTTGATTGCTGTAATGAACATGAATATAAAAGGGCATAAGCAACACAGGAATGTATTTCTTCTCGTGTACCAGTGTAAGTGTAAGCTGCCCTGGGTGGCATAGTAGCTTGTCTGTCAAGGACCTGCGTTCTTGAATTCTCATTGCTCTGCCTTCCCCGCACAGGGTTTTCACCTTGAAGTCTACGGTAGCAAAGAAGAAGAAGGTCCCTCCTCTCCCATTGTTTAAGGGCACACATCACATCTGCTCATACACCCTGGCCCAGGCCTAGGGTACGGTCACAGCCGATGCAGTCAAGGCAGAAGCATGGGGTCTTCGGCTGGGAGCAGTACCAGAGTCCTGACGCATCTCTCTGCTTTTCTTTCTAGGGGAGGCTCTGCAGATCCTGTGGACTACCTGAGGGCAGCACCCCGAGGGCGCTACAATGAAAGAGAGCTTCCATACTACCCTGGACCTCATCCTGGGCACCCCCCAAGAGGGGGCTATCCCCGCCCCTCAGATCTGAGGGTGGCAGATCTCCAGCGTCCTCAGTACTACCCACGCCCACCAGCGCATCAGCACAGAGGACCCTTCAGACAAGATGTTCCACCTTCCCCACCGCAGCACCACAGAGTTCCGGTCTATCAGGAGATGGGCAGAGCAGGGCCCCGAGGGGGCAGCCCTGACCGGCACCGCTATGGTAACCAGGATCCCAGGCAGAAAAACCCCATGACTGCAGCCGTATAGCTGAACATCACAGAGATCTTCCAAACAAGGAAGCTATCCAACACCACCTTTGCCCTTGCTAGACCCTAAGGCCTTCTCTAGTTTAAGGTGCTCCGGTACAGAGCGGCCCTTGCTCACTGAGGATGTTGACACTTGATTGCTAATCAGAAGAGGGAAAAGGGGGACAGGGGGTTTGGGGATGTGGAAAGGAAGAAGGGGGGTCATAAAAAAAAAAAGTACTTCCTGATACTTGAAAGGCTGGTTGATTGAAAGAGAGTGGGAATTGATTAACAATCAATGGAGTTACACTATAGTAAACCCTGGCTAGAAAGCCAGAGCTGGTTATAACCACCCCCACCACCACCTCATCACCACACATAGAGGAAGCAGCACAGAGGTACCTGTCTCAGCCAGGCCTAGTCACCCTTTCAGTGATGGAGCTGTGAGGTCTACACAGTGACAAAGTAGAGAGGCTGTGAACATGGGTGTATTCATAAGAACGGTGTTTTCACTGAGAACCTAGTAACAATAATTGTGACCAGTGACCTCTGTGAGACTTTGGACCCGAAGGAAGACTGTGTTTCCTTGTTTATGGTCTACCTTGGCTACCTGGTACTGCTTGTTTGATATAAAGTGTTCACATTTCCTTGCTTTAGATGTAAAACCCAGTAGAATCTGAGTGCAGCATTAGCATCCTTGGAGGATGTGCAAAGTTATCAGAGCTTCCAGAAGGAACTCTTTCCAGCCAAGCACCACAGGGAGCAGGTGAAGAGGTCCCGTGGGCCTTGCTGGCCTCTCTCCCAGGCCCTGGCATGCATGCTTGGACAGACAGCTGATTTCAGAGTCCTCCCCAAATGCCTGTCATTAGCTTCACTGAGACTTCTACTTTTAGACTCCCACTTAAGGGGGAAAGTATACCTGTGAGTAGTGTGGTTAAAGGAAAGAAAGCCTGCTGGTCAGGCCACACAGAGAGCAATGTCCTAGGGATGTCAGTTCCAGACTCAGTGCCAAACAGTACCCATCTGCCTCTGCCGCAGGGTCAGTGAGGAAGCTGGTTACCCAGAAAGTAGGTGGAAGTGTGTGTGTGTGTGTGTGTGTGTGTGTGTGTGTGTGTGTGTGTGTGTTTCCAAACACATGTAATTACCAGTATGGAGAGTAAAAGAGAAAATTGCCTTCTGGAAGTTTGATGAGGAAGAAATCAGAGGAAGTAAAAGGAGAAGCCGCATAAGATTAAATCAGTCTGCATCTGCTCTATCTCATTAACAAATGTCAGGGCCAAGCCAAGGGCTCCGCCTGATTTAAAAGACAAAAACAGAAAAAGTATCTGGCTCTGGCGCAAGAACCTGAAAAGCCACTCTTGCTCCCTTTGAGCTTTTCTTCACAACAGAGCATCTGAGGCTTCCAAATTGATCCAAATGGGAACACAAGCAAAAGACTGTGAGATGGCAGACACAGCCGGCTCTCTGGGTTCCTCGGTGTCTGCTAAGCCGTTCACAGTCCCTCTTCACCCCGTCCCCAAAAGGTCCTTGGTTCAATATAGGCACATTTTGGCTGAGAGTAGAATACCACTGACAGACAGAATATATTGCATCATGGTATTCTAAAACACATAGAGTAGCCATCTGGCCCAATTTAGTCTTTTTATTTTTTTTTCTAAAATAGTTTCGTTACCAAGAATGATGCAACCGCTGGTTTTAGCCGTAAATAGTGTCCTTTGCCTGACTTCAAGAGAGATCATTATCTAAACCACAATCATCGTGGCCCTCTGAGAAACTGACTGTCAAGTTGCTTTTTGTCCCCTGCCATCTCTCTTCAGCCAGAACCCTTACATCATATGTAATTTGTTCAGCGGGGTGGAGGAGCTCAGGATCTACCCGGCAAGGTGCTGCAGCTACACCACAGGGTCCCTGGCCACCGGGCTGAAATTCAGGGCCTTTTCTTTGGGAGAAAAGACACAGTGAAGGAAATGCAGCTTTGGGGGCGGGGCGAGCATTAGACCAAGCTTAAGCCAGATAAGGTAGCACGTGCCTAGAATCCCTGCAGGCAGACTTCAAGGTGGAGGCTAGCCTGGACTGCAGGGTGAGTTTGAGACCAGCCTAGACTAAATAACAAGACCCTGTTGTTTGTGGGGGGAGGGTTGTTGTTGTTGTTTTTTAAGATACTCTTTAATGTGGTCTATATTTTACTCAAATTTCGGTAAATCACTGATTCTGTCCAAGGCTGAAGTTTCCCCTGGCAGGAAGGCTGGACCACTTAGTGGGCCATGGGTAGGTGACAGTGATGTGCTGTGGGGAAGGGCACCTGCCGATGACTGCTCGTGTCTCCAGCTCCAGCACTGACACCTTAGGCACACAGCACCCTATATGCAGGCTTCAGGAAAGCTGCTTCAGACCTTGGCTTTGTGCCTTGTACACAGTTCATCCAATAGCCACCGTCCCTGAGAGGCCCTCGGAGGCTCAAAGGTATTATTAAAGAAAACAAAACAAAACAAAAAAAAAGAAATGATAACAGCTTTCTTTTCTTGCTTAAAAGTATAGCAATCTCTGCATTTGATCCTGCCCTAAAGAACTAACATTCTATTTGTGACAGAGGCTGCACCAAGCCGGGCAATGATTAAGAACAGCTCGGACAGTAAGCTTTAGAGATGCCTGAGTACGATCCCTCCAATTGTCTCCTCTCCACATCATCAGGACCATTTTCTGGTGCTCTGGGAGAGCTGGTGGTTCTCTGGAAGTCCATGCTATTATGATCAGCAGGTCCCCTGAAGAAGGAAAGAGCTCCGAGATATTTACAACCTTGGGGAAACTCACGTGGATACCTCTCTGTAGTTGGAAATTGAGAGAGGACTTATCAAGACCTGTAAACCTGCCACTGGGCCAGCCAGCTTCACGGGTCCTCTTTCCTCCCTTTTTTTCTATGACTAGAAAGACAAGAGAGAGAGAGAGAAGAGAAAAGAGAGGGAGAGAGAGAGAGAGAGAGAGAGAGAGAGAGAGAGAGAGAGAGAGACCACCAAAAACCTTTAGTCCCTTCAGTCTTGTCCAACAGAGAGAAACACAGCTCACTGGTCTATCACACCCCGGACTGAGGCAATCATCCCTCTTGGCTTAATACAGTTTCCCTCCAGAATTGAATCAGTGGACAAAGGAACGTTTTCTTAAACCATGATTTCAGAGTAAACAAAGCCTAGGGGAAAAAATTATCCTAAAACTCTTTATTCTTAGACTTTTCAGAACATCTGTGTTGAGCCCACAGCACCCCATGGAGAAAAAGTCTGATGTGTTCAATAGAATCCTAGAGAAACAGAGCCTTGGGGGCTCCATTGGAGCCTTATTTCCGCTGCCGACAGAATAAAGTTAAAACAACATCCACTGCCTTGAATTCTCTTAGCTAAACCTACCTTGTGAAGGAAATCCTCCTGCAACTTCAGGATCCGAGAGCTGGCTCCTCTGTTCCCTGGTCCTCAGAGAGACCAAGATTATAGAGAAATTCAACAGCATTCGGTTTTGTGTGCCTGCTGTTTAGTGTTTGAGCAGTGTTACCTAGTTTCAGGCCTATGGAAGGAAGTGAAAAGTAGTTGATAAAGGAATGTGTCGCTGTAACACGAGACGCACTGAGAGCAGCTTTCAAACTGGTGTTAAATTGGGTAGACATCCCACCGCCTCCCCAGTCCGTGTGAACAGAAAGGCTGAGTTTCACACAGTGAGGGGGCAGGGAGTTCCATTCAGAAAAGTCCATAATAGTGTTTCTCCCTTCTCAGTTCATTCCAGCCTTGCATAGAGACGAGGCTACAGTGAGCTGGGGAAGGGGAGTCTTCGTAAGTTATCCCTACAGAGTCACCTTTCTAGTAAAAGGGAGGGCAAAAAGGTTAGAAATCTAAAAATAAGCCAGCACTCTCACATGAAACTATGGCTTCTAAGTGTAACTTTCCCCCTCCTCTCCTTAAATAGACATGCAGTCACCCACAGCCTGGCTGTTGAAGTCGGGTTTGGCTACTAAGCTCCAAGTGGGAAGTGAACCATTCCCAAAGGCCTTGGCCCGCCCTTCAGCAAGTGTTCCGCTCCATCTGCAATGCTGGTGACGGCTGGGACACAACACGAACCCTGGTCTTTGTGCCCTCACTTTCTCTAATCACCAAGTCACCTGTTCACACATTCTAAAGATAAATTATGTGAAATCATATTTTGGCATACGGGGAGGGAGAGTGAATTCTCTGCAAACTTTTTAATATGGTTCCATTTATATCACTGAAGACATTTTGGATGTTATTGTATATGAGTATATAAATTTTTCATGTTTTATTTTGCATTAAAATAAAGCTTTATTCAATCAGTGATACATCCGTATCTGATTTGTTTGGGGCATCTGATGAATGGTTAGGTGGGCTTGCGCCTGCTCACTCTGCAGCAGCAAATCTAATGCAGCGATTCTCAAACTTTCTAATGCTGCGACCCTTTCGTAGCGTTCCTCGAGTTGTGGTGACACCGACCATAAAAAAATTATTTCAATTGCCACTTCATAACTGTAATTTCGCTGCAGTTAGGAATAGTTGCGTAAATATTTTTGGAGGTTTGCCAAAGAAGTTGAGACCCACACATGGAGGACACTGATCTAATAGTTAAGCGCTTCATAGTGACACCTAAGAAGAGCATCAGGGCACAGGGGCTTCTGCTGCATGCAGACGGGAGTGGACAGAGAGAGGCTGGGCTGCAATGCGCTCACACAGTACTAGTGCCAGCCACGTCCACAGGAAACTCTGGAGAACACTGGACACTCAGAGCTTCCTCGAGTGAGGATGAGAGAGGTCTTTATGCCACATGGCTATTCTAGGAAGAGAAAAAAAAAAACTAAGGTCAGGCAATTTTCTTAGGCTCAGGCATGTTACAACAAGGCTCAGCCCTGAAGTAATCACACAGAAACCATATTATTTGCAATGCTGTTTGGCCAATAGCTTAAGCGTATTTCTGGCTAACTCATCTCTTAAAAATTAACCCATCTCCATTAATCTGCTTATTGCCACAAGGCTGTGGCTTACCAGGTAAAGTTCCCATATTTGTCTCCAGCAGGGCTACATGGCTTCTCCTTGACTCCGCCTTCTTTCTCCCAGCATTCAGCCTAGCTTTCCCCACCTAGTTCTTTTCTACCCTGCCATAGGCTCAAAGCAGTTCTTCATTAATCAATGCTAATCATAGCATACAGAGGGGACACCCACATCAGAGGCACCCCCAAAGAGTCATAGCAGCTGGGACCTGTTGAAATAGGAGCGGTGGGGCTGCGTCCCCAGCACCCCGGCCGCCTGCTAGCTTATGCCTGAAATAACAACACACAAATTGTATTCATTTAAAGACTGTTTGGCCCATTTCTATCTAGCCTCTTCTAGGCTAATTCTCACATATTAATTTAGCCCATTTCTAATCATGTGTGTAAGCACCCCCAGATGCGCTTACCAGGAAGATTCTAGCCTACGTCCATCCTGGGTCAGAGTTTCATCGCGTGTGCCTGGGAGAGCTGAGCATGGCGTCTCTGCTCCAGAGAGCAGAGCTGTCCAGTCTGTCTGAGGAGTCTTACCTCACTTCCTCTTCCTCCTGTTTACTCCTCCCACCTATGTTTTAACCTATCATGGCAAGCAGTTTCTTTATTTAATTAACCAATGAAATCAACAGATTGATATATGACCCTCCCATATCAGGGACCATTTTTGGTTGGTTCTCACAGCGGCTGAGAAGGTTTTCTTTTATGGAGGAAGACCAAAGGCCACCATCATGGTATCCACATCATTCGACACATTCTAGAACCACTCTCCCCTCATCTGCAGAAGGTCATCTTCGACAACATCACTGCCTGTCTCTCTCACACTTATTTTCAGCCCTTTCCATATTTCTAGCAAGTTCCGCAAGGTTTCATTAATTTCCCAACTCTTTCTGGGCTGTCTGCTGTAACCCACATCTTATTCTGAACATCCCTTCTTTCTGTCTGGGCATCAAGACAGTAACGACCCAATGACCCCACAAGACTCTAAACTCAGTGTGCTCAAGTTTTCTCCCGATATACCTGTTCTCACAATTCTGTTTGTGTACTACAGCCAGTTACAGGGCAGAAATCCGGAACTTGCCACCCAACCACAACCATGCACCGTATGCACTCTGTAGACACTGCACATCAGTCCTCAGACATGCCCACACTCCCTGGTGCCGTGGCATAGCTAGGCTCAACCTGGTCGCTTTCTCTCCTCGGCCTCTTCCATAGCCTTCTATAGCGTCTCCTTCATCCCTGAGCTTACTTTCCGCAGCCCTCCTCCGTTCTCCAAGGCCTGCAACCTGCTTTCGTGAATACAGCTTCCCAGGACACCTCCACACCCGCTCATTTTCGTAGTGGTTTAGAATTTTTTCACGTGCTATCATCCACCTCTAACTCTATTCTTGGCAGGGTTTTGGTTGTTTTTGTTTTGGTTTATTTTTCTGAAACAAAGAACTGGCCATACTGCCCAGCTTAAGGCAGTAAAGTCTTTTAAGAAAAAAATATTGAAAATTGGTAGACATGGATTTAAAACATTGATTAGGTGTTAGCTACTAATTCACTGTGTAACCTTGGGCAAAATACTCCTCTCTCTGGCATTTCTTGTGAAATGAACTTCATATCTCACAGAGGAGCTCACTGTGTGCAGCTCCTCCCAGCACTGCTCTGAGTGACGGGTGCTGGCAGCCTACGACGGATCAAGTTGGAAGTACTTAAACCACAGGTAACAGATGTAAGTGGCGTACTCGAGTGTCTTCTAGTCTGGAGAATAAGGTATCAGACTTTATCAGAGTGCTGTGGTAATAACCCTCAGGAGAGGGCTGGCAAGGCTTTATCATCAGTGGGTAAAAGCACTGGCCAAGCAAGCCCGATTACCTGAGCTCAAGCCCTGGAATCCACAGGGGGCTTAGAGAATGACTCCCAATGTTGCCATCAAACTTCCACAAGTCTACTGTGGCAAGTACATGAGCATGTGTGCATGTATACGCACACACACACACACACACACACACAGAAATCTTCTCAAAGATATTCACCGCTGGGCGGTGGTGGCACATGCCTTTAATCCCAGCCCTTGGAAGGCAGAGGCAGGAGGATCTCTGTGAGTTGGAGGCTAGCCTGGTCTGATGGAGGAAGGTCATTGAGCAATAAAGAAACTGCTTGTCTGGCCCTGATAGGTTAAAGCATAGGTGGGAGGAGTAAACAGAATAGAATTCTGGGCAGAAGAGGAAGTGAGGTCAGACTCTGCTCTGCTTCTGGAGAGACTCGACAGCTCTGCTCTCTGGTGCAGAGACGCCAGGCTTTGCTCTCCCAGGCAGCTCCGACCCAGGATGGAAGGAGGCTAGAATCTTCCCGGTAAGCGCACCTTGGGGTGCTTACACACATTATTAGAAATGGGCTAGTCCAGGTGCGAGAATTAGCCTGTAAGGGCTAGAGTTCATGGGCCAAGCGGTGTTTAAATGAACACAGTTTGTGTGTTGTTATTTCGGGCATGAGCTAGCCAGGCGGCCGGGGTGCTGGGGACGCAGCCCCGCCGCTCTTATTTCAACACTGGCCTACAAAAGCCAGTTCCAGGACTGAGAAACCCTGTCTCAAAGAACCAAATCATTATCATCATCATCATCACCAAAAACACAGTCTCTTCCTGCTTGTATACACAGGTGTGCGCATACAAACCCACATCTGCAAGCCTATCCTGTAAGCAGCCCCACCTTTCCTCCCATCTCTCACTGCTGCTCATTTTCGATCCATACTACTACTATTGTGATGTCTTAAATCTAGTCTGGCCATACTGCGCCACGGCTCAACAACAGAAGCATGGCCCGCTCTGCTTAAAAGCCCTAGAATGGACGTTTCCTAGGCCCTGAAGTCCCAGGGCAGGCAGCTGTTTCTCTTAAAGTCTGGAAGTTACAGCTGAGCGAATGCTTTCCTGACCTACATCTCACCTTCGAAATCGGAGAGTCCTACCAGCTAGATGACCTGGTGCTGGAGAACACATTTCTTCACAACCCGGCTTCTACACAGGGCCCAGCTTTGACAAGGCAGGCTACACAGCTGAAAGAGACAAGCAGGTTAGCCATGCTTCTGCTCCAAACCTGGTCACAGAGCCCCTGGGCTGTGCTGCAGAAGCACACAGACCGCGGCTGCGTGGGGACCCACGACCATGGAGGGTAATCATGGGGTTAGCATGGGTCCCACCTGAGGGAAGGTGATTCATTCCTGCACACTGGAGTCTCTGACTTTCTGGTCATCCCAAGAATAGCAGCCCCCAGAGGGCTAGATCTGTTACTGTGACCTTATTCCTGTACCTTTTCCCACAGAGGTCCCAGGAGCTCAGTTATCTGCCATTGAACAGAACAAGACATGGTCCGAGCCCCTCCTCCCAGCACAGAGTGGGTAATTCCACACTGTATGTTACTGAGATACCTTGTGCAGATCCTCAATAAAACTTTTACGACCCGTATTACGGTGATTAGTTTCCAAGTCTGTGTGGCCGTCTAAGGTGTCCCGTGTTTGTAGCACATTGCCTGGCTCTGGCTTTACGCTCTAGAAATATTTGTTGAATTCATCTGAATGAAGAAATGAGGTGTGAGGCTCTTTCCCTGAATTTCTCGGAAGCTGACATTCCTCCTCGAAGCCCAGACCATAAATCTCTAAGCTCTGTTGTTAAAGGTCGCCTGGCAGTATTCTTGAAGGGAAGGGTGTTAGCTCACGTGGGCATGCCGGAGTCCAATTTAAAACACGGGAAAGCCGGCGGGGAGATGTGAATGCGAGCGGTGGTGCGCACATTATTTAGAGGGTAGAGGAGACTTACGTAGAGGAAGTGCGCTACTTACGAGCGCCTGAGATGGAAAGACTGTTAGTCACACATGATTACTGTTATTATTGTATAATACCTGGATGTTAGCAAGATCTTTGCAGCCACTTGCATTGCTTGTTCCTTTCAACGGTCCTGGATGGGGAGATGGAACAACTCTCCCACCTTCCACACAGAAGCCAAGTACTGCATACAATGTTACTAAAATAAAGGCTTAATGGAAGCTGTTTGGACACGTCCAGAGAAGCCATAGGTTACTGTCTTAGCTACTGAAATTCTCTTTTAGTGGCCATGCTTTTTCTCACTAATTATTGTTTACATCTCCTGCTGAATATTTTATGGTCACAGTAATTTGGCTTCTCGTGTAGTCAAAGTACATCAGGTTCTTACTTATTTTACACAGGAGGAAACCGAGGCATTCAGAAGTCAGCAACTCGTAACCTGGGGCTGCAAAGGGAGATGGGAAAGCTGAGTCCGCTCCATCCCTTCTCTTTCTGAGAGCCTC